TCTTCCAACACAATCGCCTTTCCACCATAAAGAAATTGGCCGCGAATGTGTAAATATATTCCGTGCTAATACAAACTAGTGCCAAGCTTTCAAGATTTAAAAAACCCGTCGAGTGTTGGAGTCTTACACCTACACAGTGCCAGACTGTGTTACAATACAGTCTAGATTTTTTTACTGCTGAACTTTTTAGGTTTTTCCCGACCTTGACGCGGTACACTATTTACCGCGATTGATCCCTGATCTACAGGAGATTGACTCCCACCCCTCCCCCCTCACCCAGACAGCTGTACAATCTCCCCGATCAGGTGGGGGCCAGTGGAGACCACACTTAGAAATACACAGCTCTGGTTTTGTCAAGAACTTGCAGCAAATCGCAGCCCCAGAGAGTGTAGTACACCACACTAGACACACCAGCTAGGTGTGACAGCCGATACAACTACCTATGTGTGATCGTCAGCTTTATTTATACACCACGTCCCAGGTAGTACATGAGAGAGTGTTCAGCCTAACGCACCAGATCGAACGCTTATCGGGTGTTCGATAAGGGACTTTCTTATTGGCCCGGCGATATCTCAGCGGGGTCGGGGAAGAAATGGGCTTAGTAAATAGACTGGTTTCTTCATCATTCGGATAGTAGGGTGATCTACCACTTGTGCTGGCTGATAAAACTGTTGTCTTTTTTTTTTAATAAACACCTTTAAAAATATGCTTACCCAGAGGAATATATATATATATATATATATATATATATATATATATATATATATATATATATATATATATATATATATATGCGTACGCACGTACATATGTACAAATACATTATATACATGTATTTATATACATGTAAACATACAAATACGTACATTATATGTATATATATATATATATATATATATATATATATATATATATATATATATATATATATATATATATATATATATATATATATATATATATACGTATGTATAGAGGTGCAGCTGTAGAGCGAGTAGGCCTCAAGCATTGATTACACAGGTAGCAAGTGAAGTGACAGAAAAACAATTGACGGTTATCGGAGAGATCTTAAACCTGGTCTGGCACCGTTACTGTCGCGAGTTCTGAAGATGTGTCTGTCTGCTCTCGTCATCGCCTCGTCAGCGTGGTGTCTGCCTGATGTTTGTTTAGTACACGTTTAGTGGGGCTCTCCGTCTGTGTGTGTGTCTGTCTGTGTGTGTGTGTGTGTGTGTGTGTGTGTGGTGGGAACAAAAAAAAACAGTATTTGAAACAAGACAAATTTAGAACATTGTGTTCTAATTCTGGTGCAGCTAATATTAGACCTATAGGAAGCTGTTGTTTATCTTAACGGTTCGGCCTAAGGTTGAAGTGTTTGTTTTAAGTAGTGCGGTAGATACGTAGCTACCATTAGACAGCGAAGTAGTTCCAGTTTATCAGCTTTTATTACCACAGCGATATATATATATATATATATATATATATATATATATATATATATATATATATATATATATATATATATATATATATATATATATATATATATATATATATATATATATATGTATATATATATATATATGTATATATATATATATATATATATATATATATATATATATATATATATATATATATATATATATATATATATATATATATATATATATATATAATGTAAAATACATTTACGTGATTAAATATGCGATAATACAACTACTTCTGGTGTCTAAAAAATCGAACTGTTGCCGTATTAGGGAGTGTCCCAAATTAGGTACAGGGTCGATGACCTTAAGTTTAAGCACAGAGTTTCCTTAAGCCGCTTGCTCTATTGAAATATCTTTTACCTATATATCAGATATAGGTCGTGAGGAATCAACGTGAACAGCATTTAAACGTACTACGACAGTCAATACATTGACTACATCACTATTTAAACTGACCACATCACTCAACAAACTGACGTCAGCAGTCAATATCCTGACCACAGAGTCAACTACTGACCAGTGCAATCATCAACTGACCACAGTAATCACGAGGCAATGTACCAAACACTACCCACTATCTACTGTTGTAGCCCACTCCTTCACCTCCTTTGGTACCACCAAACCCCCTACGATCTGAACTGTCCCTTAGTTAATTTAACCCCGTCCCAGCGCATGCCATCGTCCCGCGGCCAGGCGACTTGATGTTGACGGTGGCGCTACAAATTACTCCAAAACCTGACGATTAAATGGGAGTAAAGCTGATCTCGTGTCTAGAGGCACCGAGCCTAAAGGGGGGGGGGGGGGGGGGGTGCTAGGTAAAGTAGGACTCTACAAGTCGGGGGCCATGAATGGGGGGCGTGAATGAATGTAGCTGCGTGCATTCTTCGCAGGAATTCGATTCCCTTTCGATAAAACTTAATAAAAGAGTTCGATCAGATTTTTTAATCGATCTCACCAGACGTGTGACCCACACAAATTTCCTTCAAGATTTATCTGTAATATTTCTTTAGCCCAACACTGAAGACACAATAGACCCAACAGTTCAGTCGCTTTTAATTCAATATATATATATATATATATATATATATATATATATATATATATATATATATATATATATATATATATGTCACAGACTGTATAATTATGTATCTTTATTATATTGTGTTTTGCATGAATGAAGAGTACCTGGCTAGCGGAAGGACTGTCTGAGCGATCGTCATGTGTTTTTTCATGTTTTTGGGTGAGATCGCTCATGTACGTAAGGGGAGAGAATGGACCGTATAAAAGGGAGAGAAAAAGGTGAACGGGTGTTGTGTGCTAGGACTTGGGACTTGAACTGTGGCAGTGAATGTAAGATGTCTCCATGACTTGGAGTCGTGACTGTGACTGTACTTGTTGAGTATCTTCTAATATGGATTTACCATGAATAACCATGGATTTATCATTCTCACTGTATATAGTGTAAATAAAGTCATCATTTGAAGTTGCCACTATTGCTTGTATTCCTGTGTGAAAACTAACCCACAACAACAAAGAATTCATGTTGTTACAATATATATATATATATATATATATATATATATATATATATATATATATATATATATATATATATATATATATATATATATATATATATATGGCAATTTAAGGTGATATAAAAGTAAAATTACAGGGGATTTTCCGAAACAAGTAGATATTTGAAAAAATTTAACGAAGTTAGAAACTGGCAAATTCCAAAGACAGATACCCAGTTAAAATTCCGAAAGTCCGAGAAAGATGAACGTAATTGCAGGCCTATTGTGTCTACCTTGGTCCCAGATCTTCTGCTAGGTATCAAAAGGACACTGTGTAAGAATCTGACAAAACAAAATGCGCAAACACTCTCCGGTTTTTCCAAGCCAGACGGCCCAGTGTATAAAAAGGCTAAGATTATGTTGTGTATGTAAGAGATAAGAAAGAGTATACATGTCTATATGTGTACAGGTACATCAACTTGGTCACGATTGGAATGTCTCAAATATTTTTTTTACGGTCTTTTACATTCAAGGTGCAAATAGTGACCTTAGTGTTTCTTTCAGATTTTTCTTTCGGGGGGAAGGGGCACTTGTAATTTTCGGAGGTAGAGTGGGGGCCGGATAAAAAATGTTGCCGGAGGGGGGGGGGGGGGTGGAGTTGCCTAAAAAAAATTACCGACCTTTATACGTCGGCCAATATTTGGTCCTTTGTAGAACAACTATATTGACATTAAACTACACACATAGGCCTACATTTTAACTAGTTAATTGCATTAATTAGATTCAAGAAATTGGTTCGATTGTGACACGTTTTTGTGGGTGAATAAAAAACAACTAGTTTGATAACAAGTTAAGTTATCTTTAAGGACTTGAGAGGTGGTGGCAGGAGGGTTAACGATAATCTCTGAGGAAAACCATTGCATCATGATTATATCGAGCAAGGATTACGTCACAAATGAGATAATGAGGTTGTGTTTGTCAAGGCGTTGTCCGGTAAATCCCCAGATCCGGTGATAAAATGGGTGAAAATCCCCTCTGTTGTTAGACGCCATCAACTCGGCCTCAGCCTCGGTCTGAAACTTCCCGTCATTACGGCAACAGGGGCGACATCTGCCGGGCAATATTGCGTCACGGGCTACACATTACGTCATCAACGACACTCGACTGTACTCGAGGGTGTCGTTGTTTCAACGTCATTTCCGATGGCCGTATTGTTTTCCGATGGCCGTATTGTTTTCCGATGACCGTAATGTTAACAGTTGGTCTCGCCCCCCCCCCCCCCGACACAATGTACAGAGCCAGGCTAGAGGAAGTCCATTGGCAATGACCCGACACCCTGCCCGGGTGTAGTATTAACTCTACCCCCACTGGCCAGGGGAGGCGTCAGGTCACGCGTCGACGCGAGCCACTGGCAGGCAGGTGTTTGAACGCTGACCAATCGCCCGGGTGGCGCCGGATGAAAATAGCCATTAGCAATTGTCTGACCGCGCGGGCTAGCCCATTGTGTGCCCCTAACAAGAATTATTATAATCATGTCGCATTTTATAGCATACAGTGTTTAAATTTCAACACAATTTGTTTGAAGAGATCTTTTCTAATACAACGGATGAATACAGCTGATTTTTTAAACACTACGCTAGCTACTCATAATGAATATTTTTAAAAGTTTTGACCTCAAAAACTATAATCGTTAGAGAAAATGGCGCCAAAAATGTTTAAATATCAAGTCTTTGAAAAACTGCTTTGTATTACTTTAAACGCAGTAGTAATCAACACATAAACTGTTATTTCGGGCTAAGGTCTTCATAAGGGTAAATATCATTTACATATAAATCACATATGATGAATGGTAGACTTTGTGATAGCAAGTTTTTATTTTACCCGTGTCAAATAAGAAATGTGATGAGTAGACGAATCCACATTTTACATTACACAATTTATTAAGAGAGATGATTTCATTATTTTAAAAATTAAAGTAATTAAAAAAACTTACCGTATTTACTAGGCTTCCCATTCGAGTAAGTTCCAGTAATGCTATCGTTTTTAATCTGTAGGTATTGGTCGTTCATCGCTCGTAAGTAGTAATAGCGTTCCTGGGGCTGAAGCCTCCAGTCCTTGGGGAGCGAGTGTGTCACTCCCCCCGGGCGCGGGGCCTCGTCCCCCTGGGGAAAATCTATGTGAAAACCGTCACTCTGATCGAAGCCGGTCTTTCGGGAGGCGTCAGGGAGGGGGTGGCCGGTCGCCCGGGGTAGCAGTAGGGCCGCCATGATCAGGAGAAGCAGGTAAGATCCGAGTTTACACGATGATGATGACGGTGACGATAATGGCGATGAAGGTAGTGACGAGAGCGGTGACGGCGACACGGCTAGGTTCGAGTAGTTCACTAGAGAAAGAGGAAGGTTTGATAGCATCTCCTTAGCCCCGACCCGCGCTGGGATGGCAAACTGTCGGCTGCTCTCTCGGGGGTGGGTGCCGGTGTGGGAGGGAGACTCCCACTGGGCTGCGCGCCTTGTATTTTTAGTTTTTGGGTTGGTTGTCGTGGAAAAGTGTGGGGTCCTGTTAGATCGTCGTGAGGGGGGAGGGCGTGGATCAACCTGCCATGCTCGGAGCTGCAGCAGACTGATGAAGCACGTGACGTATCCAGCGGATGTGACGTAGTGGTCGTCTGCTGATGGGTCGCAGAGGTTGGCTGTTGAGTTTGCGTCACTTCAGGTAGTTGAGGTAAGGAGACGTGATCACATGACCGGAAGTGCTGGGGTTCTCGCGGACTGTCAGTAAAGCCGAACAGCTGCTGGCCAACCATTGAGGCGGTTCAACGAGTAACGGTGGCCTCTGCGCTGTCTTCAAGTTCAAGGCCAAGTACATGTGTTCGATGGTGTTCGGAAATTAATCCTTCTTTTTTCAAAGATCAATTATATATAAATATTGATGAGGTAGATTGAAAATGAATAAAATTACGGTAATTGGATTAAATACCTTAATTAAAATTAGGACATCTAGCTTTCAGTATGAAGATGTACTATACTGACCCGGACAGCATATGTGGAATGATTCTGGATCACGACTGATAAAAGTTTAATTATCGAGCCAACTTCTAACACAGGGTAATATATGTTCTAAATTTAGCTTGAGTATCATCAGATAAATAAATAAATAACTCAGCATTTACTAGAAACGTCTAGGAATAACTTTAAAAAAAAAATACAACGTTAAACAGAATTTGAGTATCAATCTACGCAGAGCGTTGTTTCAACAAGTGTGATAGCAGATAATTATTTATATATCAGGAGGAATTAAAGGGGTTTTCTGGCACCGTGGCGGTGGAGAGTTTTGACGTAATGCTTGGATGTTCCGGCACTGGTCTGCAGACGGCGCTGCTGAGGTATATCCTGACGCGCGTCGACCTGTCCGATGCTGCGTCAGCAGGGCAGGTGGATGACTCCCAGAGACTCGACTCTTGAGAAGGGTGGTGTGGGGCTAGCAAATCCATGACCCGCGCCGACCGAGGGTGGATCTATGCATGTCCCTGATCAGGAGCGGCTTGCCAAAACACTGGGGAAAAATAGAATGGATTAGTCTAGACCAGGAAAAAAATGATTGCGATAATCCATCTTAAGACTGTGTTACCTGTCTATAGGCTTCACGGCATGTCTGCAACACATTATGGAAGTAAGTTGTTATAGTCAAATGGATAAAACACACCTTATCTCTTTCTCTATCTCCCTCTACACACAAACTATATATATATATATATATATATATATATATATATATATATATATATATATATATATATATATATATATATATATATATATTGCTTTACTACAATAATTAAAACACTATATTATACACTTAAAGCGCTGCAAGAAACATAAGCTAACATTATAACATACACCTGCCCATTATAATATACAATACATACCAATCACATACAACACATGCCCATATCATACACAACACATGTTAATGTCACATATAACGCATGGTAACGTCACATACAACACATCTTGTTACTTGTAAACATGAATCCAATCATAGCCATGTGCACAGCTTGAGATGACGCCCATATTTGCATACATGTATTCTTGAACTTATGGTAATCACAAGTATGCTAATTACTTTAATTAACGTTGGGATAAAACCAAAACAAGATACATTCATTTTCTGTAGGTTGTGTCTTATGTAAGATTGTGGATGTTGCAGATTGGACGAGTTCTAGTTCTAAAATGTAAGCTAGTATTTGATTTTTTCGAGTTCTAAAATGTAAGCTAGTATTTGATTTGTTCGAGTTCTAAAATATAAGCTAGTATTTCATTTGTTCGAGTTCGATAGTTGTGAAATGTAAGGATTCTATAAATAGAATCTATGATGAGAAGTGTGGATGAGGGTTGTGAGAACGACACAGTGCTAGTGAAGCGAGAAAAAAACGAAAGTTCGCCGTGTGGGAACACGAAAGTTCGCCGTGTGGGAACACGAAAGTTCGCCGTGTGGGAACACGAGGTGCGAGTGTCAGACGACTACACGTGCATGTAGAATCGTTTGAGGAGCTTGGAGGTTAAGCTCACCTTTCAACAAGTGTCAGAGCTAATCCATTAATGTCATTAATTATGCAAACTTAGTTGAATTCAGCCCGCCTGAAACGAACGGTATTTACTTTAACAACGCGAGGAGTGGGAGCCGGTGTAAGATTTGGGGCTTTGCCACAAAATTGTTTAACAAAGACCGTAAAAACGGTTGAGTATCTTCTCATTTCAAAACGAATGTCCTAGTAACAAATTACATACTTGTAGTCTAGTAGCTAAACGAAAAAGTCGGGAGATTTTTTTTTTTTTAAACGTAGAAATAATTCCGGTGATTGTTTTTACCTTACAGCCAAAACAACCACTTTTAAAATAAAACTGAAGCGAACTCACCGATATTGTTGCCAGATAAATATCCGTCAAATCTGTGTGAAAATTACATGTGAAATATGCAGGCAGGTACGTACGTGCTTGCCTTTTTGGCGGTTAATTTTTGAACCGCTCTTGGGTGGCTCCCTGGTAAATGTTCACCCCCCTGAGTCAGACCTGCAAGCGAGGAGTGCATTAAGCCCTGAGGAACGCCATATTAGCGGGTTGTATTGAGCAATAGCTTAAACTGTCATCTCGGTCAGGCGCATCTTAAAGACCCAATTCATCAAGTTTGCCAGGAAAATACAGTAGCCTCAAGAGCGCAAGTAATTCATCGCTCCACGCTTCTCCACGCACCCTCACACCTTTCTGCCCAGGGTTCCTCTAAGTGAAAGGCCCGTCTCACTCTTACGTGTTTGGCCATGATGGCCAAGCTGGTGGCCAAAGTTATCAACGGGATGGAATCTCCTGCAAAGCTGCAATAAGCTTAACAAGGTTTAGTGACTCTCACTTGGGTTAGCCGTACCGCGGGTCAGAGATTTTACGCCCCACCTCCCAGGAAAGTTTATAACCGCCAGAGGGTAGGATTTCATACTACGATGCACATAAAATAACACAAACACACATTAAAAGACAGAGGACTATTTATCATCTTGTTCATCGTTCTCAGTTATCAAAAGATACGAGAACAACATTCTAAACACCGCTTGCCTCCAAATAATCTCCAATAATAACTCGCTGTTCCCGGGATTTAAAAATATCCCCACACTTTTAATCGGGTAAAAAAAGCTCGATTATCTAATAGGGGATTTAAAAAATAGGATTAAAAATACAGATGAGAATTTTTTTTAAACCCAGAAGGAAATTACAGGTCATTTTTAAAATTGTTTTTTTTTTAATTTCCTGCGATGGATAAAAATAAAACAATGGGACGGATTGAGTTGTAGATTTTATAGAGGTTATGATTCGTTTTTGTAAAGAGAAAACTCATTAGTTTTTGAGAAACACTTCAAGCTTGAAAGTGTTTTCTTTTTTTCTTTTTAAAGAAACCCGAATGTTCGTAAAATTGATTGATTTTCTTGAGAGAAAACAATGAATGATTAACAGACAAATATGGCGAAATTTGCGACATACGACGGACACAGTGGGGAGTACTTGAAACATATGACAATCGTATGGAGACTTGTCACATGACACACTAGGAAAACATGAAACATATGACAATCATATGGAGACGTCACATGACACACTAAGCAAAACTTGATACTATTATATGGTGACCTGTGACACACAACAGATTGAGGGTGAGGGGGGGGGGGGGGGGGTAATAGCGTACATCACTAGCGAGATGGGAGGTAATAGCGTACATCACTAGCGAGATGGGAGGTAATATCGCACATCACTAGCTAGATTGTAGGCAATAGCGTACGTCTCTAGCTATATGGGAGGTAATAGCACACATCACTAGCTAGATGGGAGGTAATATTGCACATCACTAGCTAGATGGGAGGTAATAGCGTATATCACTAGCTAGATGGGAGGTAATAGCGCACATCACTAGCTAGATGGGAGGTAATATCGCACATCACTAGCTAGATGGGAGGTAACTGAGACATCATCCCAGAATTGATTCAACTCGGCACAACAAGCCATTTGATACAGAACCAGGAGAACGCTGGGTAGTGGCTTAGTCTACCCCGAGCTCGGCGCATTAGAATAATTAGATGCAAAGTACATGGGGACTTGAGTGTGATCCGCCTACCCCCCACCCACGGAGAGCCGAGGGGAAGGAGTGATTTAACACCCCCTAATCACCCCCGGGGTAACGAGAACTCGCACACTTGAAGGTAAAACGCTCTGTCCTCGTTACACCCCCCCCCCCCCCCTGCAGCAACACGTTGTTCGGTGACGTAGAAGAATGACGTCATATTTTTAAAAAATGCTGTAGAGAAACAATTTAAGAAAGGTGTAAAAAAAAAGACGAGCGACGTTACCTTGAAAAAGGTGTATGTTGAAGGGATAAAATAGCTTTAGAGATTAGGTAAAAACATATCTTAATTCATGAGTTAAAATAGGTTTACAAAAATAGATATCAAAATATTCCGTAGCTATAAGTTATCCCGTGATGTTGTAGGCTTTAAAGTCATAAACAATGCATTTAATATGTGTACAGTTCTTTTTTTAAAACAGCGACTTATCAAATTTGTTCAAGGCTTTGGCCGGCACCGCTTTTTAATCTCACCTTAATGTCATTTCTCGTGATCCAAGCAGACGATAAACGCCGCCGACAGACGATAAGCCATTGTGACTGACGTCTGGGCTGACTCAAATCTGGTGCCTGGTCTTGTAGCACGGGGGGGAGGGGGGATTCCCGAGGGCACGTGCGCCGCGGGTGTGAGCACTCTATGCAGGCGGAGGGGGGGGGGGTGCTTTGTAAGTGGATAGTGCTCAATTTGTAGCGATTAAATGGGCTCTTTAGTTAGTTAGTGCTCGATAATCTTGGCTTCATAAGTAGCTAGTGCTAAATAATATGGGCTCATTAATTAAGTAACTAGTGTTTCTTAAAAGTATGAGTGTAGATTACCGTCCTGATATAATTACGTAGACTTACACCAAAAAGTAGGAGTTTTAAAAAAAATTCAAGACAACTGCTACCAAACCCCAACCCATAGATTAATAAAATACTTAAAAAAAACTTTTTAAAAAACCACGTTTTTCTTGTGGACTAAAAAGTAGAAAATAAAATTTTCTTTTGTGCTTCCTCGAGCTGTGCAGGTTCTTGTGATGACTGACAAAAAACGTGGGTACGTTCACCATCAAATTTCCCGACCCATCTGCCCGACCCACGTTTTTTGTCAGTCATCACAAGAACCTGCACAGCTCGAGGAAGCACAAAAGAAAATTTTATTTTCTACTTTTTAGTCCACAAGAAAAACGTGGTTTTTTAAAAAGTTTTTTTTAAGTATTTTATTTTCTCCTTTTTAGTCCGTTGCTACACTTGAAAAACGTGGTTTTTAAAAAAGTGTTTATAAATACACGGACTAAAAACTTGAGCGACCAGGATTCGAACCTGGGTTGTCGCGGCCACAACGCGAAGTACTAACCACTATACGATCACGGCCAGCGCGCTCACATCGATTGGGGCCGAAGTAACTGGGTCAATAGGCCTCCAGTCTTGTCGGTATCTTTAGAAATCATGTCCTCAATTTTATGGTCCTTGGGGCGTAATTAAATTAAGCTAATTACGGTCACTAATTGCTAGTTTTTATGATTGCATCTGAAATTGTTAGGCGAAAGTAGCATGCATGCCAAATTTCAGGTCTATAGAGCAATCAGAAGTGGGCTAATTTTCGATGTCAATTTTAACAACAAACATCCAAACAAACAAACAAACAAACGCGAAGCTGAGTTAAGAAAAACGTGTTAAAATATTCAATGTTTTACTACAATAAAAATTATTTATTATTCACGAAGAATTCAGGTTAGGCTACTCTAAGAAAAAATAAGAAGAAAAAATTCCCCGTAACACTGAAGAGTTCTCAGATGACATGAGCATAGCGGCGACAATTTGGGAGGAATGCGGTGGGTTTGGGTTGTTAGCAGGTTCAAAGGCCGGCAACTCCGCACGATTATGTAATATTAGCAATGTAGTTAAGGAAGACCGAACAGTTGCCGCCCTTATGACTCGGTGCCGTCCCGCTAGGTGTGGGGTATGGGGGGGGGGGGGGGGGGGGGGGGTCGACTGGCACTAATCAGAGAATTAGTGCTATTGTTTTTGCTCTAAATCTGGTTTGAATGGTTATTGTGTATTGTGATTGAATACACGGAATATTAGTAAGTATAAAAGTTAGCAAGCAGTAATCAAGTAGTTAACCGTAGACCTCAGGATGTGTTTCAGGGGTTGAATCTGCTGGGTGTGTGCCAGATAGTCGAATGATAGCTGCCAGTATCAGATGTCTGACACAAGTCGTATGGCCAGAAGGCGCAATACACAAGTCGAACATTGACCTCTAGTAAAGAAAAGAGCACACTTTATTTTGTGATCTTACAGATCTTTACGAGAATTTTGATACAAGATCATTTTGAAGGTGGCAGGTTTGTGCTAGTGGGAAAAAAATTAAAAAAAAAAATAAATTAAAAAATCGACGGGTGATTGGATATTACAATTTAAAAAAAAAGTTTAAAATAAAGAAAACCACCTGCAATAATCACTCTAAATCAGACAAATGTCTTGAGAAAATGCGGTCCAGCCTAGGGTGACAACTAGGTGATGCCTTGACGATTCTGCCAAATATTTAAATGCGATTTAGATCAAGAATAACCTCATATAACCATTCTGGTAATATCTCAAATCCCTCGTTTTACATCAGTGTAATCAACACTCATGTAAGTGTAATTCACACTCATTTATCGACCTTGACCCCAAAGCCTCTCTCCTCCCCTATACCCCCCCCCCCGACTCTGGACTCACGCCTATGACTCCCTGGGTGCAACATGGCGAATCGACACCCGTGCTTACAACAGGAGCGACATCTAATAGCCGGCCATCTTGTTGAACACATGTCGAAGCGTTTACCCAGCAAGCATCGGGCGCGGGGAGGGGGGAGTCTTTTGATGAAGATACATAAACAAACTCAATCAACGAAGGTGCGCACCGCGCCGACACGACCAGCGTAGCACCGTTTAATGGCAGAGGTAATAAGAAATCTTATCAGGGCATTAGCTAACCCGTTTATCTTCGACTCGATTTATTCGTTTTTTATTAGTTATCAAGGCACAAATCTGGCGGTTTTGTTTATAGTTTTTGTTTACTCGTTCATTATGTTTTTTTAGAGTTCGGAAACTTGTATGAAGAAACTCGTTAAGGTAACCTAGGAAACACAGGAGACTGCACTCATACTAACACATCAGTGCTGTTTAGGAGGGGGAGTTTTAGTAGCGCTGATAAAACTTTTTAAATATACACTATTGGTGAGGAGAGGGGGTATATATCCTGTGTATAAAATATGTATTAAAAAATTAAAATATTTCATCGAATTTTAATTTTAATTATATAAAAAACCATTAATCTTATCTTTAAATTTGTATAAAGCGGTAATAAAGATTGGTCATAATATATCTAACAAAAAATTATGTCTACACCTGTAAACTCTAAATATTTTAAAAACTATAACAGATGTATTCCGTTATTACTGCAATGTATACACGACAATAGGGCCGTTATGCGTTATAAAGTCAAGTAGTTTATACATTGATACACATAGTCTTATACAAAGTGTTCTTATTGACCTTTGTAGGTCTTAACATAGATACTGTAGGAGCGACAGAACATCTAGTACTTTTAACAGTGTTGTATCGCCCATCTGATATGCCAGACCTACTTGCTAGCCCCGCCCCTCGGCTCCAGCCCAAGACAATCGTAAAGGTGAGCGGAGGTGACCGGTTGTATGGGGTAGCTGCCGGGTGATGAGGGGTGGGGGTGAGCTCACTTTGATATGGATACGGGTGTTGAGGTGCGCGCCGCTCAGGGGGAAAGGTGTCGCACAGGTAGACCTATCCGCTGTACATGAGGTGGTCGATACTGGGGGGGAGGGGGGGGTAGGGGGGGGGGGGGGTCAAAAGGTGCAGGGCACCCGGGGCGTTGATAGGTACCGGAGGCGTTAGAAGGTGACAGGGGCGTCAGTTAGCCCATCTGCGTCTAAACGGAGTCGGTGTTAGCCCATGTTTTCCACTTGACGTACAAGAAATAAAGAATTCAAATACAACCACGGATGACATTCACGATGAACTGACCATTAGGGCCAGGTTGTCTAAGGCTGCAGACGACATAGACTAGTATGGACTCTAGCTGATGGAAATAAAGGCTCTGGCTAAATTTAAGATCATTGAGTAACCAGCCCAGTTGCCAGTAAGTCGTACAACAATCTTTTATGTGGCAGTTGCCGACAGTTCAAAATATGGCCATTGTGATTTTGACAAAACACTAAAATAGTATGTGGGAATTTCCGAAGTGGCATATAGGTCGAAAAAAATAAAGTTACACAAAGCACATATAATTCAGATACTCCACACCACATATAATTCATTTACAGCAGTATAACTCAGATACATCAGTATAACTGAGATACACATAGCAGATACAACTTATATACCCATAGCAGATATAACACAGATATATCTCATTTCTACACAACACATAAAACACACTGAGAAGATGTAGCTGAGATACACATACAAGATACAGGAGAATGAAATACATTGGTATCCCCATAATTTACCTTTCGGGTAAAATGTGCATTAAAATAGAACAATTTCATCTTGTCATAGCATTCAAACTGAATTTTTTTTTTAAATTTTAACAGAGCACAACTGACCACATATAACATCACTTGTTAGAAACGAATCATTCTCTTATGTAGACCTACACTTCATGGACAGGTTTAAAACTATAACCTACCGTACTTGAAGCTGTAAGCAAGGTAACTAATGTAAGAACAAAATTTTAGGCTTTGTAGCTTTGTTTATATGTAGTAAAGCCATGATTATTGACAGCTTCTACTAAATCTAAAAACTACGTTACTCTTTGAAAAAAAAAAATAACGATGTCGCATAAGATTTCAAACAGAACGACATATATGCCTTTATTATAAAATGCAGTTCTAGTTGAGTTTACAATAACAGTCAGATGCAAGTCTGTGAACACAGTTAAGAACCAAGTTAAAATTACTCCAGTTTTTAAAAAGTGCCTAAATAAATTCACGGAATTGATAAATTAACGCTTTACGTAGCGGTGCCAACAAAGGGAAGCAAATCTGGATGCCTTAACGGGGACAAAACTTATCGGCGGTTAATGAAATTGATAGGCAGCTTAGCAACGGCGAGAAACACAGCGCAGGGAACAAGTGTGTTACCTTGATTGAGTGCACGATCGGTGTCTGAACATATTTCGCAGCGTATCGTTTCTAGTTCACACCCTAACCTCATCCTGATTAGTTCGACACTTTCGTCCAAGCAGAACTGTACGCATCCTACGTTATCAGGCCGGCGCGATACTGAATTTTTATCTTCATGACTCGCTATCAATCCTACCTACAGTCTACAGCGCTATGTATGTCGACTGCATTGTCTATTTAGTTAATAACCAGCGATAAAACTAGTACACACTTTTGCTAGTCACAAACTGCTTGATAACACTACTTAAACGTATGAACACACACACACTATATATATATATATATATATATATATATATATATATATATATATATATATATATATATATATATATATATATATATACCTAGGCCTATATCTCTTTATAAATACACCTATATATGCCTATATTATAAACCCGTTCAAGTTATGCCAAGCGGAACACAAGGTACTTAAATAAGGAATGTTTCACCTTTACTTTCAAGCAACTGTAGACAACTAGAATACACAGGCGATATATATTCTAATCTATGACAAACATGTTTTTACTGCTTATGTCGACTGAACGGAGTTAGGGTTATTTTGTTTTCGCTGTCGGGGTGGGCCCAATCTATCACTAGGCCACTGACGTTCTCTAATAAAGTAAATATAATAGTTTTCTGCCCATCTGTTTAATACACCTCATTCCCCTTTAAGGAGAACCTCGTTAAATAACGAGGTGCTAAGATACACATCACTCGACACCTAGACCTATCACATTCGAGTCCCCTGGATACCTACAACTACAACACTAGGTTTAGATCTAGCTTAGAACATATGTTTTTTCCGTCGGTAGATACGCTTAAAACACCGCTAAGATTGTAAATGAAACACGACGCCCGGTCATTATCAATGTTGGTTTATTGTTTATTTCGTTTGGTTTTTTTCACGTATTGAAATTACCTAAGAGCTAAAGACATACACTCTCCTATTCACTTACCTAATAGTTAAGTATTACATAATTATGTATATAATACGCCTTATAGTTATGATACAGATATAGATCTATATGTATATTATACGACTCAACGTTATGATATTTATATACATATATAAATTATATGGGCCTTAGACCTACATACTTACATACCAAGTCCAAGCCTGTAAAATATATATGATTACTATGTGTAGCTTAGCATAAGTAGACTTAACGTATATAAAAAGGCCAGAGAACAGTCTAACTTAACCTAGATACATTATTAACTGCTGCAGTAAGAGACGTGTGTATCATCAATAATGTATGACCACTGAATGAATATGTCAATAATATTTTAACTTACTTAGCTCTGCGTGTGTGTAAAAACAAACTTCAAGTACTTACTTCAGAAGGTCCTGAAAATTGCGTAGATGATTATAAATATCTGTTAAGTCCACAGAAATTTTGATTGATGGTACCGTTAGTATGAACGAATCGCGTTATCTATTTCCAACAACAGAACTAAAGGTGATCGAAGTGCTCCCTGATCAATGAATTAAGTTGAAGAAAGTTTCAATACTCCACACTCTTAATGAATTATAAAATCCGAGTTACACAAGTAGAAAAACAAAATGATTCACTGATAAAATTTAACTGTTTTCACAAAGTGCTGCTTAGTGAAGTATAATAATTCAAGGGAAAAATAATAGGACGATTTTTGCTATTATAGCAAGATCGTTACTCCAGCGCTCTCTCTCACTATCTGAAGTTAAATCGACTGGTAGAGTTGGGTCCTAGTTCGTCCCACCTTCACGCATGCGCCTAGGCTCTACGAACAAACAAACATGGCGGCCATCAGAAACTTCAGAAGATATTTACGCTTCGCATTGACGAATTCTGTTTTTCTGAAGAACTATCAACATAATGCATTTTACTCAAACAGATATTTCAAATACTTTCTTTTAAGCGCAGCAGGATTCAGTTCTATCTTTGCTTTAAAATCTCTTAAATATGAAAAATTAAAATCGCTTTCTTTAAAAAATGTTTCATTTTCGTTACCATGGCCAAGTGTTGTGTGCGCAAAAAGTGTCAACAGTGGGGATGAAAGGGATGAGGTGAGAGGCTTATTCTCTAATTTATTAAATCAGAATCTAGATCTAGAATCCATATTTCCTATTGACAAAATTGTAAATATACATGTACTACAACATGTGTTTTCTAAAGAGCTTAATTTAAAATTACCCCCCCCCCCCCACCTGAAAGTGAAAGTAAAAATTCAAAATCATCTTCACTTCTAGCTAGATTCTACTCTAGGCCTATTATTTACATTTTATTTTAATATATTTCACGAGAGGGGAGTTGTCAACTTTAAGCAAGAGTCCTCTCCTATACAGTCTGCTGGTTATGTATTATGTAATCTAGATTTCATTTTGTAAGCCTTCCTATACTTTATAATAGAGGCCTAACTGACTATAATACTAAGTTAGAGGCCTAACTGACCGGCCCTAAGCTTAGGACCTATTAAATTAATTACTATGAAATTAATGATCTTAAGTGTAGGGCCTAATATAATATAATTGGAAGACTAATAATGTTTAAAAATAAATGTAGGCCTAAACTGTAAAATTAGAACTAAAAACTAATATGTGGTTACTAAAGTAAAAAAAGTGTTACATTTTTTTTTGTACACTGTACCATAACACTGGCCTTACTTAACAGGCTAAACTTAACAGGCTAAACTTGTAAATTTGAGCATAAACTTCAACTGAAGAGAATAACTAAAAAAAAATATGGCCACTATATTACTTAGGCCTACTAAGTCTAAATAAAATAAGCATAGGCCCTATGTCATAAAATGAACTAACATGCATAGTGAGAAAATCTGAAATTTAAAAAAATAATAAAGTATAATATGCTTATGTAGATCTAGCCTAAATATGCATTTTTTAAATTTATTAAATATGTTGGCATACATTGTAGGCCTACACTTTTTTTTAATTTGCTATATAATTGTAAAATTAGAACTTCAATGGCTGGTCTTTGTATTTTTGTGTCAGTTGTCACATTGATCTAAGATCTACTTCTGATATATTAAAAAAAAAATTCCTATCGTAATTGGGCCATCCTTTATTCTTCTTTTATCTTAAGTTTAACACTAGCTGTTAGGTTTTTGAAATGTACACTATTTTAAAAACCATATTAAAGTTTTCATTAAAAATTATTTATTGGTCTGTTTTGTTTTGTCTCTTAGTTAACAACAAAGTTTATTGGGAGTTAAATAGTTATTCGTCCTCTATGTCTAGATATACACATGTAATTTACAACCCCTTTCACTCAATAAAATTAAACCAATGTGAATTTGAAGTGCCTTACCCTATTTGATAAATAGGCTTTTTTAAAAACTTTGTGTTGTGTTGTTAATATGTACATTTTGTTTCCAATTTAGGCTAGATATGGTTAAATAAAACTAGTACCCAACTGTTATTACGATAGTTTAAATTTTCCATCTCAACACACAAATCAAATGGCAAAAATGATCAAATAAATAGTTCACAAGGGATCGGGTAGATACTTTAAATATAAATAGCCATGTAATAACTTTCAGCTGTCTTTAGTCAGCTTGACCATGAGTGTGTTATTTAATTAATGTTTGCATCTTAAGGTTGAAAAAACATTACTAATATTATCTGTAAAATATTTTCAAACTTTATTATTCATCAAATATTTTGTTGTTCAGGATGGATCCAAAGCAAAACTCGAAGTTACATCTTACAGAGAGATGAGATTCCGACAGTTTGCATCAGTAGAATATGAAGGAAATATTTATATGACACCTCAAGATTTTCTTGAGTCTTTAACAGAAGAATCTCCCAGAGGTAAGGACCTGCCTAATTGGTCAATACTTGAACTGTTTAGCCTCTTCCTGTTGGAGTATAGTTCTAAATCTTCAAATATTTATTTGAACAAAAAATACCTATTTTTAAAATCTTTATTCTGTCTTGATGAATCAAAGGACATCCTTGTTTAACTGCATTTAGGGAACGTTAAAAAAATTATTCTAAGCTTTTGCAAAATTTCAGGTTACTCAAAACGTAGTAAGTGTACACAGGCCTAGCCTGGCTTTTCATATTTTCTAAATCTCTAATAACAAAAATATCCAGTGTTTTGTAATCAAACATTATCTTCGACTTTATTATATGCCTTATTACTATATATGAGAAAAATAGAATTGCTGTATTAGTATGTTAACCCATTTTTAGAATCTACCTCACATATTTAAAACATTACTTTTTTAAAAATAAAGCTTTTTAAAAGTATATTTTTTGAATAATTTTTATTATATTGAGAAATGATTAAATGTTAATTAATATAATTTAACTATTTATGCTTCCCAATCAATATTTTAGAGAAATTGATAACTAAATGAAGTAAGTCAAGTTTTACGAGTGCTGCTATATGTATTAATGAGTAAAACTTGCTTTAATTTGATAATGTTATATAATTGATCTGATATTTCAGCTGATTTCTTTTCTAGTCAAGCATGAAATAAAAAATGTTGTTAACTGTTAAAACAAAATACTGCGCTCACACATGCTGCTCTAGTACTGTTTTTCTAGTTCTTCATTTTATTGGTGATAAGCTCTTCAACCCCCATCTGTTTTTTACTAAATTATTTTTAACATTGCTGGTTACTCCTATTTTTTTTTTACCTTAGTTAGATATGGGCTATCAAGTAGCAGTTTCTTAAATGTAAAATGATTATCTGATTAATAAATGCACTTAAGCTTAATTAGTTTCCTTTTTAATTCTGATGAATGCATGCTTTATCCTATGGCTTATTCTAACCTTTATCATTACAAAGGTATGTTTATAAATCAAAGTGGTGTCCATTTGTTTGCTTGATGTAGCTGTCATAGTACCAGCTTTTTAACAGTGTCCTCTGTAAGAAAAATAACTTTAATATAGAAGACTACTACATTAACAATCATGGTGCTTTGTACTGTAAATTGTAATAGAAATATTGTAAGGTTTTGTCCTCTTAAAAATTATAACCTGCGAAACATTTTTTTCTAATTCTGTCCTATTCCTTTAATATAACCCATCTTTTTATTTCATATACCTCTGTCTCATTCCTTGAACTTAGCTCATCTTTTAATTTCATATAACCCTGTCCCATTCCTTGAATGTAACCCATCTTTGACTGTGAAAACAAACTGGACACTAGTGGTCAGACTGGGAAATACCCACACGGCGTCCAAACGGACTGAAAGTCGTGGCAATGAGAGCCTGCTGTGAATTGTTAGAGCCACGATCTATTATCTCACAGCCATAGAGCAGGCTGTTGGTATCCGTGCTCAGGGAGGCCTGCACAAACAGCTCTTGAGACAGCAAATGATTCGCTGGCTCCTGCACCCCCTGCCACACAATAGTCATGTGGGGCCGTCAAAAGTGGGACTCAGACTTCAAAAAGCCGTGGGTGAAACAAGAGCTTGCAAATTCCAATGTAGAGTTTGCGCTCCTAGCTGGGAGGTGATGGGTTGGAGAGGCCGTGAACGGGTTCTTTCACCGTCCTTGTTCCTTACGCCAGTCCCCCCGCGTGATTACAGTGGAAGTGTTACACCTCCAGTCGGTGGCGGACAACAAAAGACCCTCGACCCTTCAGCTATTCCATCCATTTGTTGCCCGCACCGCAAATGATTTCATTTTCCACTTGATTTACCACTGCTTGTTGGGAATAAAAAAAAAATACCACACGGCAAACGGAGAGTGGTTTCTTTTTTTTAATACAAGAAGAACAGAACTATAGGCGAAATTATTTTTTAAATACATGCTAACCACTGGCGCCGAGTATTTTACGTGGATTAGAATTTACCTCAAATAATTACAGGTTAGGGTGGAGGTATTTTACGGAAATATTTCTTTAATACCCCTTTTTCGATGGCACTGCACGATATATATATATATATATATATATATATATATATATATATATATATATATATATATATATATATATATATATATATATATATATATATATATATATAATTTCAACGTTGACATTCGTCTTCAGGACTGCTGTGTCTTAGTACTTTCGTGAATCTTTGTATCTATAAATCAACAGGGCCAACCGAGACCATTTCAGTATCCATTGTGTTTAGTTTTTCTTCTCGTTTGATCCCGTTGCTGGGGATACCACTGCGTGCTAAAAGTTGTGTGATAAAAAGTTTGTGAGTTTGTCAGCGTGACATTATTTCAGACCGGGACCTTGCCGGACACACAGAAATGTCGCGTTAAGATGCGCTTTGAGAATGCTTTTATCCCCCGTTCCCCCCACCCTCCCCGAGAATCTTAAGAAACCCAATACTTGACCAACGAGAAGGGGCTGACCTGTAGAAAAAAAATGACCAGACTCCCACCGGCTACCACCCATGTTGTTTCTCCCCCCGGACAATGGGACGATTCTCTAACGGGGTGCCTTCTCCATTAGGATTACGCCGCCCCGTGAAAGGTCAGGCCATGTTTGACCCTGTTGGTAACCAGCCAGCGCCCGGGGACCCGCTGAATGGAAGAATGGGGGACCTGCTGGTTACAAGCTCCCCTTTGATTTACCGGCCATTGTTCCGTGACCGCGGCGTTGGTCAACGCCTGGCCGTGACCAGTGTCACACTTGTCCGTAATGGTCGGGTTGTTATCTACTTCATCATCGTTAGCAGCGTTTATTATCTGCTGCATTCTCGGTGCTGGCGTCACTGGGGGTCCTCTTCTATACAACACATAATGACCGGTCCGGTCTTTTTTTTTTCTAGCCATTATTATTAAGACACAACTTGTGGCAGTAGGAAAATTTTCAAATTACTCATTTTTTAAAACCATTTTCTGATACAACGCATACTAAGTGAAAATCATACTTGTATAGTATGCACGTGTGCCTGTTCAAAACGTCACCCAAGAACGAGAAATTGTTTCAATATGGGTATCACTACACTCTCTCTAGTCTACATCGTAAGAAAAACTCTGGTAATGCAATACTACGCCCTAACACAATGTTGTGGGGTGTCGATCTTTGAGTACTAACTGGCTAGATCTCCAGTTTTTCTTTTTTTTTTTTTAGCTATTTGATTAGTGACTCAACTGCTGCCTTGTAGTTTGTTCTTGGTTGGACAAAGGCTATGGAAGCAAAATCCAAAAAGAAAAGCAGGCTGAAATCGGAGTCAATGGCCTCAATGGCGCATAACCTGTTGACACGTAACGCTTAATTGTGTTGGAGGCGTGGTCGAGTCGGCAAAAAGCTCATGGTTGATAAATTCGAACAGTGTCGAGTTCAAACCCACTGGCAGATAAATCTCGATCCCCTTCAACACTGATAATTAAGAACGATGAAGAAGAAAAAGAAGAAGATTAGTGACTAAACGGTATCTTGATTTGGTTTGATTTGAACTCTTATAGTGTCTCACCACACACCACGTGGCATGTTCTACTAAAAACTCCCTGACCCCTACCACGTGGCATGTTCCACTAAAAACTCCTTGACCCCCACCACGTGGCATGTTCTACTAAAATCTCCCTGACGCCCACCACGTGGCATATTCCACTAAAATCTCCCTGACCCTACCACGTGGCATGTTCCACTAAACTAAAAACTCCTTGACCCCCACCACGTGGCATGTTCAACTAAAAACTCCCTGACCCCCACCACGTGGCATGTTCAACTAAAAACTCCCTGACCCCCACCACGTGGCATGCTCCACTAAACTAAAATCTCCCTGACCCCTACCACGTGGCATATTCCACTAAAATCTCCCTGACCCCCACCACGTGGCATGCTCCACTAAAATCTCCCTGACCCCCACCACGTGGCATGTTCCACTACAATCTCCCTGACCCCCACCACGTGGCATGTTCCACTAAAATCTCCCTGACCCCCACCACGTGGCATGTTCCACTAAAAACTCCCTGACCCCTACCACGTGGCATATTCCACTAAAATCTCCCTGACCCCTACCACGTGGCATATTCCACTAAAAACTCCCTGACCCCTACCACGTGGCATATTCCACTAAAATCTCCCTGACCCCCACCACGTGGCATATTCCACAAAAATCTCCCTGACCCCCACCACGTGGCATGTTCCACTAAAATCTCCCTGACCCTACCACGTGGCATGTTCCACTAAAATCTCCCTGACCCCCACCACGTGGCATGCTCCACTAAACTAAAAACTCCCTGACCCCCACCACGTGGTATATTCCACTAAAATCTCCCTGACCCCTACCACGTGGCATGTTCCACTAAACTAAAATCTCCCTGACCCCCACCACGTGGCATGTTCTACTAAAATCTCCCTGACCCCCACCACGTGGCATGTTCCACTAAAAACTCCCTGACCCCTACCACGTGGCATATTCCACTAAAATCTCCCTGACCCCCACCACGTGGCATGTTCTACTAAAATCTCCCTGACCCCCACCACGTGGCATACTCCACTAAAATCTCCCTGACCCCCACCACGTGGCATACTCCACTAAAATCTCCCTGACCCCCACCACGTGGCATACTCCACTAAAAACTCCCTGACCCCTACCACGTGGCATATTCCACTAAAATCTCCCTGACCCCCACCACGTGGCATGTTCTACTAAAATCTCCCTGACCCCCACCACGTGGCATGCTCCACTAAAAACTCCCTGACCCCCACACCATGGCACTCCTATCGTAGCTCGGTTCATTGAAGTAAAAAATGAAGGTCTGTTTTAATTATCAACAAAAGATAACACATCCCATCGTAAACCTCCAAGGCTGTTCCTTGATATATCTCTTGGTTTGTTTACAATGTTTCACATGCATGTTTTATTTAACCATGTAACTCTAGAAGTTCAGATAGTGTTACAAAAAGTGAGTTTTGATATATTTGTAGTACCAATTAGCTCAATAAATGGCCATGATACTTACACGTTGGGAGCAATCGTCTAACACCTATAGACAACCTTCCGCGGTAACAGAAGACTGAAAATAAAAACACTTCACGTACTCTAGAGAAGGAATTTAATATTAAAAGCTGGTAAAGAAAATTGGTCTAGTTCCAAATGTTGCTGTTTTTTTCTCGTGAGTAATTATTCTTCCAATATGAAACAATACATGAGCATGTCTATAGACTAATTAAAGCCAAGCTCACCTGTAGCATCCAGTGCCGGTAAGTGCCGGCAGTCCCCTCTCCCCTCAGGTAGACGATTCAACGGTTACCCATCTGTTTAATGGAAACGGGTTATTAGATCATCCGATCAAATAAAAAAAAATGTACACTCAAACTGTTGCACGAAATTCAAGTTTGAAAGTGTTTCACAGAGAATTTTTAACCATTTGGTATCTGGTTTAGATATATTTCCAGTGCGTGCTGTGTGTGTGTGATTATGTTTGGCAGGGAGGGACGGGGTGGGTGGGTTGAGCTCACACCCCGGAGCACAGTCTCTACTGCTTTGTACAATCATTAAGAAATTTTAATATTTTATCATCACGTGGTTTTTCTTCTTCTTTTTTCTCTCTTTAAAACTTGCTAAAGTCGAGGGCAGGTAAGGACCGGCCCGGGCACTGGAAACATTTTCACTTGTCTGACTGACAGCTTGAACATGTCTAACAGATCCACGTTTATGCGCCTGATACAGCGTTAGATAACTCACGATTCCTGCTCTTTTTAAAAAATGGCCTTGTTGATGCTGTAATCTTGTAGCGAGGGGAGCACGAATACAGGAGCCAACGTTTATAGGGCGTCACTTTAAGGTGAGCCAGCCACAAACCCTTCACGTGACACCCACCACCCAGTCTGTGTGCCATTAACCGCGCCTGCTCTAGAAGAAGATTAACAAAATAGGTCTGTACCCCCTTTAATTATTTAAAAATCTAGAAACAAGACAAAAAAAGTAGTCATGTTGAAAACAGCACTAAGTAAACTCGTTTTCATTTCATTCACAGCATTAATGTATGAATAAACATGCTTGAAACCAGTGACGAGTTAATTGAGGGGGGGGGGGGGGTTGAGAAGGCAGAAGTTCGGGGGCCTCCGATTTTTAGGGCCCCTAAATTTTATTATAGAAAATCATTACAAAGTTCGTTTTTCTACTAGATCTAAGCTGTTAGTTTCACTAGAAAAGTGAAAGTGTTAATGTTTGTATCACAAAGTGGACACTTACAAAAATAGTAGGCTATAACGTTTAGTTTTGGTAATCAAATGGATCGATTGAGTAGTAATAGAAACAAAAAAACACAAATAATAACCATATTTTAAATAATCATTTAATGTATTGTTTCCGCTATAGTAGGCTGGTCTACACTTATTAAGAGGCGATCACAAAAAGCAAATTTTAAAAAGGTTAATAAAGTCTTAAACTAGCACACGGATAGTATCATTGGTCATCTGTCAATTCGCTCGTATCATACAGCAGTTATCTCATTTGAAATTGAGATTCCATTTATCCGTTCTAGCTCTAAAAATGCCAACCTGATTTTCATTAAGTTAATATCTTTATTTTAATGTAGACAGCACCGTGTCTTATAACAACTAGAGAATTGTTCCCTTTGTTAAGAGCGCTGTACTTGGTTTCTTTGTACTCATCAACAGCGTGCCGCCTAATTTGGCAAACGATGTACAAGATACGCCCGCCCCGCCAATATTGTTGACCAAAATATAGGGGCGTATGTAAAAACATTATTCCAGGTCTAGTGCTTGTTTATGAATACAATAAGGGTATCGCCACCCTGCCCTCTCGGCTTAATGGCCATTGTGAAGGTATGGCCACCGTGTCCCCAGTTTTTTGGTATTTCACTTGGGCCCAAATCGGAAGTTTTCTTAGAACAGTTTACGATACAAAATCACAACAATTCTATACCCACAATGCCTCACCCAGACTAGTATTATTATTAAAAAGAGTTTAGGCTGAGTTTCAACGATGAAGATTAATACTTGCCTGAACATATTAACGAAGACACGACTTTAACCGACTGAACTATTTTTTTACATACACATAGTATCTTTGTGTGTGCATGTGTGTGTGTGTGTGTGTGTGTGTACAAAATGTGTACACACACACACACACACACAAGAACTACACTTGCACGCATACATTTGTCAAATGTATGCGTGCAAGTGTAGTTCTTTTTTAACACAATTTTAGCTAAGCGACATGCCTCACCGACATAAAAAGTAAATGTTTGCTAATTTTAGAAATATAAAACTTAACGCTAATGCTACCCAATACAACAACACATTACGACGTTAGCGCACACTAGATCATATTTTATATTTGTATTTAAAGACCACAACTAGGAGAAGCGTTGCAATAAACGGAGATAATAAATTGCACTGTCAAACGCCTACCTGCCCATCCGTCACGGTCTACCGAGACTGCCCTCTGATTTATATGGACACATGTCAAGATGTCTGATGACCCTAATTACACAATAATCTAGTGGGGTGTGGGGGGGGGGGTCTGTTTTTCTAGACTGTAAAAAAGTGAACGCCACTCTTTTAACCTTCATCTATTGCATTATATCTTTATACATTACACACGCACGCACGCACACACACACACTATATATATATAGGCATTTGCGTATATTTTTTCTATTTAATAATGTCTATATAATATGGAAAGTCAATTATTTGTATTTTATAATTGCCACTAACAACTATTTTATATAACAAAAAAGGTCACCAAAACATTGTTTTGTTTTCGGAGTGTTTTGCAAGGTTACAGTAATCAACTAATACTTACATGTTTTTTATGTTTCCTTTATTGTCTTTCATTATGCATTACTATTGTTAACAAAATCTTATTGACATCCAATTACATTTAGCAGCTTAATCGTTGAAATTATAAACCCAATCTCGTTAAAGTAACTGCTAAAAATAATGTTTAAGTTAAAGCTGGTTTAACATACGTTTAGTTTAAGTAAAAATATGTTAAAATCGTAAGAGGTATATTTTTTCGTGAGTTTCCCAGTCTTTCCAGCCCAGTTGAATTATTGATGATCTACTCAATCGTCTTGGTAGATTTTCGCTCCACGAGCTTGTAGAGCGATAAGGTGGCGCTGGTGGATGCCGTGGTGGATGGATGCCATGGTGGATAAATGCTGTGGTGGAGCGTGTGTTAAAGCGTGGACCCCGGGCCTTATCGTGTTCTCCTCTCTATTTCAGCTCGGATTGGCAGAACTCGCTTGACGTCCTCCGAGCTTGACAACATGTTGCGCAATACGCCAACGTTGACAAAGGGCAACGATAAGCTCTTCAGGAAACTTCACGACAAAGGTCAGTCACCTTGTATTTCCGGTAGTGTCCCTTGGACTGGTTTATGTGGGTGCATAGAAATTGGTATTATATCAGCTGTCAGCATCTGAGTACTGAGCTAATGGCGACACAGACATTGGGGGTTTTATAAGACGGTTGTAGTGACCTTATTGTTGGAAATTGGTACCTTTTTGTTGGTTTCATGTTTTCTCTGCTCATACCATCGCAAACTTTTATAAGACGCAAACTTTTATAAGACGGTTGTAGTGACCTTATTGATGGAAATTGGTACCTTTTTGTTGGTTTCATGTTTTCTCTGCTCATACCATCGCAAACTTTTATAAGACGGTTGTAGTGACCTTATTGATGGAAATTGGTACATTTTTGTTAGTTTTCTCTACTCATACCATCGCAAACTTGAGTCAGGCAGGCATGGAGTAATCTACTCTAAAAATAACCAGACACATTTATTGTTGCTTAGTGTGTTGGCAAGCACTCAACCAGTAACGCCTTTCTGTGTGGTAAAAAACTTTTTTTTCTAAAATTATATTTTAAAGATTTCTTGCTTTCTTTCTTGTGCTTTGGGGGGTGGGGGGGGGGGGGGGTGGGTAGGGGTGGTTGGTTCCACCTTCTGACGTCAAGGTTTGTTTCTTGTTGTAGGGCAGGGTGGGGAGTAGCATCTCTGACATCATGTCTTGTTTCTTGTAAGTATAGGCAATCCTCTATCCTGCACATGTCGATACATGTCAGTTGTTCTCCCCTCATCAATCACCCCACCGTTCAAAATTAACCCTTGGACAAATGTAGCAAGGCATGTTTGTCATGAGAACGTCAGGTTGTTCGGTGATCCCCACATTTTTAGTAGCACGAATAGGATGTTGATCAGGGGGCCTGAGATTATTTTACTTAAGGGTACAACAGTTTATGTTCATTATTTTCTTGAGTTAGCAAATAAAAAATAAAAAAAAAACCCACCCTGCAATACTTCAGACGGCTTTTTACGGTCCCAGATCTGGTATTGTAATCACTTACTTACTAGCATTGTAAACCAGTTGAAAACAAATAAGACCAAAGCTACTAAGTTTAAAACAATGATCCACCTTACTCAGTGGTAAATTGTTATTACTTGACCCTATCTACGATTTAAATGCTTGCTTAACACGTCGTTTCCACAACGAAAAGTTTATCACCTTATCCAATTTGAGGAACTATTGATCGGAAGTCACTTGCAAATGAAAACGAAGTAGGCCTATAGGAACAAAGCTTGTGACATGAATTCGAAGTCATACGCTCAAATAAGAACCTACGTCATCAGTTTAACAATTTCTCTTTCAATTAGAAATTTTTATCTTAAGCAGCCGCCATTTCTAATGAACTTTTTTATAATTAGTAACTCTGATGATGTCTGTATTTTTCTTGAGTTTGTAATTATTGTGTTTCAAGAACGAGATATCAACTAACCTTATCTATGTTATTACTATGAGTACGTGCTATGTAGGAATGTTCATTAATTTAGTTCTGACACGAATTGTTTCTAAAGCTGTTGGGACTTACAAAGAGAACCTTCGGTAAAATGTTCAGTTGTCATGAGGGTGGGGGCGGGGGGTGGATCATACACAAAAATTCCATGTACGTTGACCTGGCGGTTTAAATTTGATAGAAAAAAATTGAGTGCAGCCGACGAAGAAAGAGATGCTGCACGGTAGAAAGCCACCGGTCATTTTCTTGTGGCGCGTGGGGTCGTAGGGGGTGTCGCGTGCAGGCTTCTTTGTCCGCTGGGCTGGACAAAGCCACGTCAGGGCCGGTATATTTTTAACATAAACTCCCTTTCGCTAGGGGGGTTTGAAACGTGTCGCTTGGAACAGGGTCGGTACAGCAAGATGATCTGTTGGTTTAGCGGCTAGCGTGAATTCGCCCAAGCGGAAGTAAAGACTGACAGAAGAAAAAAAAACAGCTTAAATCCTGCAGTTGTCGGCAGATTAATTCTCATGATGCGGTGTTTGATTACCTCTATCCCCAGAGTAGTGAGGGTCCTATTGCCCCTGCGCGTTCTCTCATTGATTTGCTCACTACGCCATCATTGTCTACCCTCCTAAGATTGCCGACGCCAGTTGTAATCACTCACCGCGCTCTGACTAATTATTGGCTTACAAATACTTGAAGTGTCGGGACTGGCCAGTTTTGTTTGAGGGTGGTGCGCCCTAAGCTCACACAATAGATGGATTGCCGTTCGCGACAAAAAAAAATATCACTGTATGATAGAATTGTCTGGCCGGGAGGGACACACTTTAATGCGGATCCGTCGAGTCTGGGTTCATTCGATGTTGATTATTCGGCGCCGTGGTTTGTCAAATCGGTGCTGGTATTGTTCAAGGAGCAGGACAGCGCCTGAAATCTTGTAGCTAAATGTACGTATAACCCAGATCGCGAGATTCGAGTATTCTCACATCGCAAATGACCCAGACATACCCGGGCATATTTTCATCTCCACGATAATCTTGCAGATGAAACGGATATTTTACCAGCTGCTGCTGGTCAGCGTGTCCACCATATCATTATAGTTGCTGCGGTCAGTGGCCATGGTGTGATGGATGGCTGTCCTGTCAGACGCCGGTGTGCTTTGGTCGAATACCTGCACACTTCTAAATTTGTGGGTGTCTTTGTTGTGTTTGAACATGCTCATTTTTAAAGCTTGCACCAAACATTGATGGCATTTGACATTTTATAGCTTGCACCAAACATTGATGGCATTTGACATTTTATAACGTGAACTAAACATTGTTGGCATTTAATGTGTCATAGTTTGCACCAAACAGTATTGACATTACTCTACGATTATAAAAAAAATTAATTGGCGCCAGCCAAATACTTTAGATAAAAACCAGGAAATAGAAGATCTTGAGCCCTGAGTTTCATGAACGTTGATTGATACCCCGTGTGTCGAGGGATTACTTCAACCATGAAGTGACGTGAGTGCCGGTCACGTCAGTTGTTTGAGGCTCTGGTCAGGCACGCGCCCATCCGCAGGTGTTTCCTGGGGCTCGTGTTGCGTCACTTGTTCCAACATTGTCTGGCCCTAACCCCCACATCCTGTAGCTGACTTGACGGACAGGGTGCACGGGTCCAGTGAACCCCGCCACAGGACGCGGCTGTCCTCAGGCCCCGCCACGGGAGACAATCTGTTGAGCTCGCTGGCTACCATCTGTTCGGCGCCTGACACCAATTAGGCCCAGCACAAATGGCGCTGGAGGTGCTGCCCGGTGTATTGTCCGGCTAAATGCTGCCAGCCGAGGACAAAAATTTCGTACCCGCAGATTGGTATCTCTAATGAAATACTATCTTCATCCTTCACACACCCTCATCCCACACCAAAACCTATAAAATGGTGTTGAAATTGCATGGAAATCTGACGGACGAATGGCTGACTTTGTTCATGGGTTATCATCATTTGAAAATATCATGTGCATACGTTTTTTTTTGGCTATATTATCGACTTTGTATAGTTCGCTTTTATTTCAGTTGTAAAAGATACCAGTAGTACTTTTACGCGCTTTAGAATAAAAAAAAATATTTAAATTAGTATCTTGTCTGAACAAGTATGAAATTTGACTAGAAATCCGTCCCGCTAACATTAGCCAACAGCTAACAATACTTAGATGCGGATAGCAAGACTTGTCTAAACGATCCTTGTTTTGACCTCTGTTTTCCGTGTCTGTGATAAAAACGTGAATGGCTGCATCACCGGAGCGTGTTACGACAACCTTGATGGGTTGCCGTAGCCAGGGCGCGTCCCGGATTGCTCGAGCGTGTCATCAGTTGTAGAACAGCCCGGTGGGGTTAAACATCATTACAAGTTTCATCTAATCACTTTTCAGCGCTTCACCTGGCTTTATCATCAACAGCGGGCGGCTGCATTCAGGCCGAGTTTTAAACATTTTTAAATAGGCTTAGACTACATAAATAAAAAAAATGAATCGTGTGTAGTCATGAATTGGTCTTTTATGACGTTATTTTTGTATACTGTAAAACAGGTCTTCTCTTAAACCGTGAATTAAGAAAGGGAAAGTAAGTATACACTACCTGGGTAGAAAACGTGATATATATATATATATATATATATATATATATATATATATATATATATATATATATATATATATATATATATATATATATATATATATATATATATATATATATATATATATATATATATATATATATATATATATATATATATATACACCTACATGCATGGTGAAAAGTTTAAGTATCAGCAACTAGAGAATTGTTAAGGATGAGCGCTGGACTTGGTTTCTTTGTACTCATCAACAACATGCCGCTTAATTTGGCAAACGATGTACAAGATACGCACGCCCCGCCCATATTGTTGACCAAAATATAGGGGCGTATGTAAAAACATTATTCCAGGTCTAGTGCTTGTTTATGAATACAATGAAGGGTATCACCACCCTGCTCTCTCGGCTTAATGGCCATTGTGGAGGTATGGCCACCGTGTCCCCAGTTTTTTGGTATTTCTATTGAAGAGCTGACCGTTTCTGCCCCTCCATCGGCCGTTCATTGTGTGCATGAACCGTGGCGGCGTAAGGTAGTGTGAGTGCAGCGTTGACCCATCACACGCGCCAGCATGCAGAGTCCGGTGTCACGGACCTGCTCAGGCCAATGACCAACACAGAACATCAGGCAGCTGGTACTCAAGAAATAAAGAGCTATCACAATAAAAAGTTGGCCTTCATGCAGACACCGACCCAGCGCCAGTAATAGAACTAATCATTTAACGCTGTGCTATATAATCCAAGCACTTAGAGGCATTTCTAGACTTCAGGTCGCAGTTCAATTCAATGTACACTGTGGTGATAGAATAGAGCTCTTCTCTATTCTAGCAAAGCCGTTGGTTCAAAAAGTGATATGTAATGTGTTAAAACATAGGAGACATCAAACCTATTTAATCAAACACTAGTCCGTGTATCAACAAACGTGTATATTTCCTCATGTAAAGCAAGATAACTATCTCAATCATTTTTATTTTAATCATCCTCGCGCGTCTAGTTAACTGTCTGTGTGTGTGTGTGTGTGTCTCCCCCAACCCCTGTACCTCGCCCCCCACCCGGAACAAACGTTGTCACAAGCGATGATGAAACAAAACGGCGCCGCAAACAGTTGCTCTCTGCTGACCCCAGCACCGCGGGGATTTTGGGCCTTATCCAATGCGTCATTTTTCTCCTCTTTCAGACCTGCTAGTAAATACGAGACTTGGCAGCACCCGGCTATTGTGGCGCGGCCTCGCCTCGTTTGTTTTGTTGGCCGTGCGGCGTGCTGAAACCTGCTCGATTCTTTCAGCTGAGACCAATTATGCCACCGCTTACCGGCTCCCAAAGTACAATCACGGGGGGCGTTGAGGTGTCGGTGGGGTGCTTTCCTAGTTGTTAGAAATTAATGTACTGCCAAACACAATGTTTGCTGTTGAATTCCTATATAAGGAAATCAAGACTTAGCTCAACTATTTTGAATGGTGTATTTAAGTAACTTAGTGTCTCATTGAAGAGCTCTTATTTCCAGATACTCTTGTGTGTATACTTGTCACATTTTTGTATTTCAAACAGCTCGCCGCCACTGTTGGTTGATAAGCGTAATTTAACTCTATCCCACTTCACACTGTGCACCTACATAACCTACTTGACAATACTGCCTTAAGCTTTGGACGGGAAGAGTAATAGTTACTTTAAATAGATCAGAGTTCATTGCAAACCACCACCCCTTTTCTCTATCCAATGTTGACAAGTGCGTTCAGTTCTCATTTCAGATCACAAGACATAACAGATTTTCCGTTATTTTTACCCATCATAAAAGATTTTCAAATTTTAATGTTATTTTTCCCCATCGTAATAGAAAAGATAATATAGTTTCAATGTTATTTTCCCACATCATAATAGATAATAGAGTTTTAATGTTATTTTCCCACATCATAATAGATAATCGAGTTTATATGTTAAATAATTGAAGCTATTCATGTTCCACAAATGTTTTTTTGTCCCTCTAGGAATCATCTCCTACACAGAGTATTTGTTTCTTCTCTGCGTATTGACAAGTAAGTTCAATTTTTAAATAAACCTGTTTAATGTTTATATGTGTGTGCCGTGTGGCTGTTTCCTTGACCTGCAAAGGTGTGGATTTTGTTTTTGTAGACAGTTATTTCCGTTGATGTTTATCCGTAAAGAATTGAGATTCACATGAACAGATCAGCTACACAAGACTTAATTAGAAAAATGTTTAGTAAGTAAAACATGTGCACTTTTGAATAAGCCCAATCAATTGGTTGGTATTGTTCGGCGGGGAGTGGAAAGGGGGGGGGGGTCCCATCTGCTCCCATTTTAAAATTATTAAAACCAATTGTGAAGAATAAAAAAAAAGACAAGAATAAAACAAACTCAAGGACAGTCGTATATTTGGTGAAACGTTTATATTAATATCAGAGTTGTTGTTCAAGCGTAATGAGGTGATTTATAACTGGAGTATCTGAACACAGGTTAGCATCAATCTACCTACCTTGCCTCGCCCAGATTTGTATGATAGTGAATGTTGTTCTGTAGCCCACCCGGTATAAGACACAATGACATTAGTTTTCTCCTATGTTTTTCTGTACTGTGAACTAGACACATAAATATCTTAGACCGCCCACGTTCATCGAGTCACGGTTATCTGTGTTGTTTGTTTTACAGTAAAATTTGGATAAGCACTGGTCCATAAAGTATTATGGCTTACAAGTATGGCTAAATGTTGATCAATATTTATAGGTCCAACACATCCATTAGGCTACATCTATTTCATTCCTACTTATACACCTACCCTCTGAGAATGCCACATCTATACTGTTCCTACATACATCAACCATAAAAACCTCACATCTATTCCATTCCAACATAGGTCCTACACCAACTGAAACAACCCTACATCTATTCAACTCCCCAAAACCCTACAAACACAAAAACCCCTTCATGTATTCCATTCCTACAAACCCCTACATATCCCCCTACAGATTCCTACAAATCCATTTCCACATAAATCTACCCACAAAAGCAATGCCACTTTAAAAATGAATTTTGAAAAAGGCCATAGAGAAAACGGCTAGTCGCGTTTGGTCAGATTTGCATCTAAGTTCTATTGATATAGTCCGTGTCTTTTGTTGTCTGACTAGAGTTTGGTGTTGTGGTGTACACCGTTTCCCCAACACCCTATCTGCTAGCTATTCCATTCTTTTCCCCCAACGTATCTGCCAGCTAGTCTAGACATAGCCGTGCATACTTCACACCTTTTATATTTATTGTGTCTTAAAAATATCACCACCGACCATAAATAGGTTGTAGGTTAACATCTAGCACTATTGAGAGTGTTAAACAAATAGTTTTTAGAAATTAAAATAATCAGGGCTTACCTAGCGATAGGCTAAGGGGTGAAGAAATTGACAGTAAAGTTGTGTAGCGTTAGTAAAATACATTAAAAAAACAAGTTTCAGAAATTTACATTTAAAAAAGCAAAAAAGATTTTTTTTTTTAGAAAAGCGGCTAATATAATAATGAAAAAGAATGGAGGGAAAAATAAGAAGAAGGAGAAATAAGAAATGCGTTTTTTTTTTTCAGAAAAAAAAAAATGAATAACATCCGTGAAATATAGTGTTATCTGTTTTTGTATTTCTTCCATATGTCGTACAATTGTTGCAGGAAGTGTGTGGCGCATCAAGGTGCCTAGTTTTTCTGTAGCAACCTTGTAATGTCTTTATAAATTGTTGCAGCGGAATCACACACGGTGATGTGATGCTTGTAGGCTGTACAGTTGATTGCTTGTAGGCTGTACAGTTGAGTGCTTGTAGGCTGTACAGTTGAGTGCTTGTAGGCTGTACAGTTGAGTGCTTGTAGGCTGTACAGTTGAGTGCTTGTAGGCTGTACAGTTGAGTGCTTGTAGGCTGTACAGTTGAGTTCTTGTAGGCTGTACAGTTGAGTGCTTGTAGGCTGTACAGTTGAGTGCTTGTAGGCTGTACAGTTGAGTGCTTGTAGGCTGTACAGTTGAGTGCTTGTAGGCTGTACAGTTGAGTGCTTGTAGGCTGTACAGTTGAGTGCTTGTGGGCTGTACAGTTGATTGCTTGTAGGCTGTACAGTTGAGTGCTTGTAGGCTGTACAGTTGAGTGCTTGTAGGCTGTACAGTTGAGTGCTTGTAGGCTGTACAGTTGAGTTCTTGTAGGCTGTACAGTTGAGTGCTTGTAGGCTGTACAGTTGAGTGCTTGTAGGCTGTACAGTTGAGTGCTTGTAGGCTGTACAGTTGAGTGCTTGTAGGCTGTACAGTTGAGTGCTTGTAGGCTGTACAGTTGAGTGCTTGTAGGCTGTACAGTTGAGTGCTTGTAGGCTGTACAGTTGAGTGCTTGTAGGCTGTACAGTTGAGTTCTTGTAGGCTGTACAGTTGAGTGCTTGTAGGCTGTACAGTTGAGTGCTTGTAGGCTGTACAGTTGAGTGCTTGTAGGCTGTACAGTTGAGTGCTTGTAGGCTGTACAGTTGAGTGCTTGTAGGCTGTACAGTTGATTGCTTGTAGGCTGTACAGTTGAGTGCTTGTAGGCTGTACAGTTGAGTGCTTGTAGGCTGTACAGTTGAGTGCTTGTGGGCTGTACAGTTGATTGCTTGTAGGCTGTACAGTTGAGTGCTTGTAGGCTGTACAGTTGAGTGCTTGTAGGCTGTACAGTTGAGTGCTTGTAGGCTGTACAGTTGAGTGCTTGTAGGCTGTACAGTTGAGTGCTTGTAGGCTGTACAGTTGAGTGCTTGTAGGCTGTACAGTTGAGTGCTTGTAGGCTGTACAGTTGAGTGCTTGTAGGCTGTACAGTTGAGTGCTTGTAGGCCGTACAGTTGAGTGCTTGTAGGCTGTACAGTTGAGTGCTTGTAGGCTGTACAGTTGAGTGCTTGTAGGCTGTACAGTTGAGTGCTTGTAGGCTGTACAGTTGAGTGCTTGTAGGCTGTACAGTTGAGTGCTTGTAGGCTGTACAGTTGAGTGCTTGTAGGCTGTACAGTTGAGTGCTTGTAGGCTGTACAGTTGAGTGCTTGTAGGCTGTACAGTTGAGTGCTTGTAGGCTGTACAGTTGAGTGCTTGTAGGCTGTACAGTTGAGTGCTTGTAGGCTGTACAGTTGAGTGCTTGTAGGCTGTACAGTTGAGTGCTTGTGGGCTGTACAGTTGATTGCTTGTGGGCTGTACAGTTGATTGCTTGTAGGCTGTACAGTTGATTGCTTGTAGGCTGTACAGTTGAGTTCTTGTAGGCTGTACAGTTGAGTTCTTGTAGGCTGTACAGTTGAGTTCTTGTAGGCTGTACAGTTGAGTTCTATGCTTGAGATCTTTGTTTAACATGGTGCTTGTAGGCTGTACAGTTGAGTTCTTTGCTTGAGATCTTTGTTTAACATGGTGCTTGTAGGCTGTACAGTTGAGTTCTTTGCTTGAGATCTTTGTTTAACACAGTAATTGTAGGCTGTACAGTTGAGTTCTTTGCTTGAGATCTTTGTTTAACACCGGAGTATGTATACCTTTAGTAGACACAAGTAGTCTTTTTACCTAGTCGGTTTAAAAATAAAGGATTTTTTTTTTTTACAACTGACAAAGCTTGAGGAGTATGTAGTTGGTGTGTCTTGGAACTTTGATTGTTAGAAAGACTTGTCTTTGGAATATCCTAACATTCCCATTCCATAGTTCAGTCCTTATTATCTAGAGGAAGTCCTATCATGCCCCTCTATGTCCTTTTATCAGGTGCTATAATCGTTAAATAAAACTCTCCCTAGTTCAGTCCTTATTATCGAGACAAAGCCCTATCATGTCCAGAGCAAATATTTGCAAAGCTTATCGCATATCTAGAAATATTATTGTCTGCCGGGAGGGCCGTTGTACGCTTCGTCCTTCCCCACCCCTGTAGGTGTGATCAGGAACCTCCCACAGCCCATGACATTTTGCCTGAATTTTCCTCACCTCTTGAACAAACGATTCGTGCTGTCCCAAGGGACGGAACTCTGGGGCTTCCATCGATTGTTTCCCTTCAGTCTCCGACCTTGTTTTTTCTCTCGGATTTACGTATTACATGACGTTTATCCCAACCTTTATACCGGTGGGTACGTTAACCTAGAGGAGATCTTACAGAACTATATTACAGTAGGTACATTGAGGGGAAATCTTACAGAACTTTATAACAGTAGGTACATTGAGGGGAGATCTTAAAGAACTTTATAACAGTAGGTACATTGAGGGGAAATGTTGTACAACTTTATATTGGTGAATACATTCACCAAAGTGAAATTTACATAACTTGTAGCAGGAAATGACATGCGAAAAACCGAATCCTTCAAGACCTGGAGAAAACACCCCGCTGCTGTAGAAAGAGCTGTTTATTTTTTAGTTAATTAGCTGCGAATTGGTCTTCAGAGCTGAACAATGGTAATGTTTGAATGTAACGGTAATATTCACCAAAGGCGACCGAACCAGGTTCATAATGTGACGGCAATTATTAAAGAGAAGAATTTTATTTGCTGTAAAACTAAATTTATTCTTTTGGCCAAGTTTTTTCTTGTTTTACAAAGATGGCGAGTGTCTGGTGCAGCCAAATCTCATTATTAAGCTTTGGTCGTATACTGTGTGTGCAATACGTGGCGAATGTCTGCGGATTTGATGTAAATCCGTTCCTGTCGGAGCCGATTAGCGCGCGGACAGTGACGATCAGAGCCTGTTTTCATTGATTACGTTTGATTGTGTCCCGGTGTCGTCGATGTTGGCACTACAGGTGGCGCTGGTTTACCGGCTTCACCTGGAGGCGGGTTCCACCTGGACGCTGTGGAGCAGTCGTCTTTAAGGGTGACCGCTGACGGTGCCGAACTTACCTGCGCCCCCCCCCCGACACTGGCCTTCTGTCGAGAGCCAACTCGCCGTCTAGACTAAACAGGTTCGAGATCGGCTCTGTGATCAGGCAGCTATTTAAAGGTCCAAAGTTCGGATCACCTTTCTACCCGCCCCTCGCATCTCCCCGCCTCAGCTAATGAGCTCCAGTTCCTCCAGGCGGCCAGTTGTACCTGCGCT